CTGGTACCGCAAGCTGCCAACAAAGCCCGTCGTGACTTGGAGATCCACTTGGACACATGGTTTTTGAATCCATAAATTTAATTCTAATAGCTTCTTGTTACTACTAGTATGGCACTTGTTACTAGTAGAAACAAGACCACAACGGCCTTGAGGATGCTGAATTGAAATGAGTTGCTCATGTTGGCGTGGCGCCAAAGTTTGTCAAATCCTTTGCAGAAATCGATTCGCTGCAGGTGCCAAGACAGCTCGCAGCGACTTGGTTGGCAGCTTTGCCATGCTTTACCGTTTCCTTGTCACGAAAGCTAGCACCAGCTAGCTGGAGTTGTCCTTGCTTTAGCAAGTGAGGGGCTGGAATCCTCAGGATCGCCGAATCACGTGAAAACTTCATATGTAGGGCCCCCCCCCGGTGGGTTCAACTCCCCCCTCGGACGCCTCTGGGACACCTCTCGGGCATCTCTTATGGCATCCACTTTGGCTTAACTCCTCCGGGCTACGGTGCAACAGATTCAACAAGCTCACATGTTCATGACATCGACATCGATAGAAGAAACCAAACAAATCATGCAAGCAGCTTTGTTTTGCCTCTGGGACACCTCTTGGCCACCTCTTATGGCATACTCCTCCGTGGAGGTTTTGGGATACGGTGCAACAGATTCAACAAGCTCACAGGTTCGTGAACACATCGGATGCATCGAACAGTGTGGCAAAGTCCAGCCACACTTCCTTAATTATCGGGGACTTCAATTCTAAGGTTGGCTGTCATTGCTGTTTGTGTGTCTTACATGTTCACAACGTTTTACCTCACGAGCATTTGCCTCACTCCGCTTGATGTCCCACCAGTCCGGATGCACCCCTGCTAGCTTTCGTCACCTACCCTCGGCCTCAAGTTGATGTATATATAATGTTAAACAGTAGTGTGCCTCTTCTTTCGTGCCTTATGCAGTTTTGTGGTAGCCACCAGTCCGTCACGACTCTAGACTCTAGTGTGAGGTTCCAACTAGTAGCCTGGTCAAAATGTTGAGCCCCTAGTAGCGTCCTTCTTCCTAGTAGCGATGCCCTTTGCTCCTAGTAGCGTCCTTTCTTTAGCCAACATTTCATGTTAAAGAGTATCACAGTTAAAGCTACTTTGATTCTCCACAACGTGGCGTTATACAGTGCCAAAATCTTGGGCAGCGTTGTCTGGAAGCTATCTATTTAGGCTGACTGCAGCAATCACATCAAAGCATCGGTCTTGTCATACACAAACGATTGCACGCATCCTCAAAAAGCCCTGGGGCTTGCAATTGCTATGCAAACGCCAGAAGAGAATGTCAGGCCCAAACGGGTGCGGAGTTCTTGGAGGAGCATAGTTCTTGCGGAGTTCTTCGCCCCGTCGAAGAGGCTCTGCACCGTCGTTTCGCCTCTGCACCTTCGTTGGTGCCAAAGCAGGCACAACCTTGGACAAAGAGCCAGGATGCGATGATAGTTGATTGAAACCAGCTCATCGCGTACATATCAATTTGATGTTCCTTGGCTTCTCAATTGCGAAGTCGCCCTTCAAAGAGCCTCCGGATATCTCTGGAAAGATACACGTCATTATCAGAAAGCAGTTGATTTGCACTTGAAATGTTGAATGGCGGCCTTTCAAAAGCCCAAAGCAGGAGTGTTTCGATGAATTTGCGCAATAGGAAGCTGCGAAAAGCAGCTGAATGGTTTCCTATTCGTCAGGATGCCATGCACCTTTGGCTCTGCAGACCTTGAACTGTGCAGCTAGAGGATTGCAACAATTCAGCAAGCTGCAGGCTTTCTGCATGCCTATGATGCCTATGCCTATGCAAGACAATGACGGAGTAATGATGCTGCCAAGGACCTTCTCAATCTTCCAAGAAAGTTGGCCACTTTCACAACGTTGAACCCCCAATATAATGCTCACCTTCTAGGAACAAGTCGCCATTTGAACGCACTTTCAGCCATTTTCTTTGAAGATTGGAGGTAATGGCTTCTTGCATGTGGGTTCCTGTGTACAAAGAGAGCGGGGGACGCACCCTCATGCCCAGTCATCTCAGAAGCGATTCAATGCACTGTATAGGCTACTTCTAGACATAAACATGTAAACTTATTTTAAGAGATCCCAGCCACGGATGCCATGATGGTAATTCTGTCAAGGCATTGTGAATGCCTCAATCGCTTGCTGTCAATGGCTACCCTTCAGGCTCAATGCTTGAACCGGCTCAACATTGTTCGGAGCACTAGCAGGGCCAAAAAGACACAGTGCTCCTGACATGATCTACAAATCATGCCCGCACGAATGACTGAGCATGAACCAGAGTTTGCGACAGATGTGGTTTCATCTCTGCTTTCAGGTCGGCAACTATGCTGTGAGCGTGGCCTTTCCCTCAGAATCACTCCGACCGAACATCGCCCGGGCATTTGTCACCCACAACTTTGCATGTTCGCTTCCAAAGGCCTGCTAAGGGTCTAGTCCTTCACCACATAGAAGACGTTGCATAGTTGCCCGAACCAAAATATGGTCCCCTTGATGTAGTGCAAGTGTTGTTGAGTTCCATTCAATCTTGAACGCCACACGTTAACATGTCTCAAAAGCTTTGGGTGCTTCTTGGCCGCTAAGGTATGGTCGGATGGGCATCAGACACTGGTTGCCTTACGAGCGCTGGCTGGGAGAGCCAAGGGGCCATCAGCAGATGCTTTCGGATGTTTTCGTTGGAACAAGCGTTGATGGCCCACTCAAGTGTAAGGCGAGGACATGAAGCATTGCATGATATTGCATGCCAGGTCTGCTTGGTAGCTACGGCGTAGAATTGATTTTGCTCCTCCTAGTGACAAGCGCTAAATGCATTCGCTGCAAGTGTATCACAGTGACCCCTTGCAAAGCTGACTAGTGCATGGTGGTGGACACATAGACCGGAAGATCAAAGCCCAAGCTCATAATATGTAGCAAGAAGGAAGGACGCGCAGCAAATCAAACAGAAGGAGACATGCAGAGTGATTTCTTGAATGTGCTTGGTCTTCGTGGCCTGATTGTGTTTGGCCTTTGGGCTATTTGTTCACTGAAAGATACTGAAAGCTCTCCTGACGAAGTTGAGACACAAGGCGTTGCAATTAATGTGGGGTGTGGCGTGTTGAGCGAGCACAAGAGCTCATTGAAGCTCATTCGAGCTCATTCGCACCCTTGGTCTTCAAAAGCATTTCACAGGGGACTGGTCGTCATCCGAAACTTGGAGCTTACATCCGTCCACGCATCTCGTCCTGCTCTATACCGATGTCTTGTGCAAAGCGCTTCACATGGCACAGAATCTGCTGTTGTCCTCTCAGCTGCCGACTAAGCTAGCCACAGCAAACATTTTGACAGCTGCTCTTAGAAAGTCATGAGTCAAAGACATTCAGCGAAAGAAGTTGTTCTGAGTTCTTTCTTTTTGAGGGAGTTGGCCGCAAAAACGGAAACCCCAAAAGAGCCATCGTTTGCTTTTGAGTCTTAGCTTTGTGAGACCGACGTTCTGAGCCCTGCATGACACCTACTCCTTTTCTCTCCTTGTCTGATTTTGGTTTTCGGTGCACTTATAAGACTGTTTGACTGTCTCGTTTCTTCCCCCGGCATGCTAAATATGTACATATATAAATACCTTTCCCAGTCTCGCTTTTTCTTATTGATGAGACTCCTAGGCTGAGATGGTTGGTGGTCAAGAGAAGGTCAAGAAGTCCAACTGGTGAGTGCATCGCACTTTCCCAGCGAGCATGTTTCGCTGCGATTCAGACGTCTCGTGCGCAGCACGTTTGCACGTCAGCGCACCCGACAGAAGTGCGGACAGTGCGGTATGTTCCGCAGACATTAGCGTGGCATTGAGCCGCATGTTGCGAGCAGCAATTGCCGGTGACATGTCTGTCTTGTTGCCTGATTCTGGTTCGAGGGTCTAGAGCGATTCAGTAGCTCAACTCTTGAACTTCTTCGGGTGGCAAACTTTTTGAAACTCTTTGTTCCACCGCTGCGCTCCAGGGAAAAGATGAATGTTGACACAGTGGCATGAGCAAAACAGATGTACAGATCTGCAACAGTTGGAGAGTTGTTGAAATTGACTCTTGAACCGATACGTTTGGCCACTTTCAGGACAGCCGGCTAAACCATGACAGAGGTGCAGCTGGGCCAGATGCTCGGAATCTAGATTTGCCTTGAATCAATCGTGCTTGACTTGGCTTGCGACATTCGCCGCTTTTGGCTGCAAGCTTGGACTCAAACCGGATTTGCTTCACAGAAGATGCAGCCAGATGCTTGGTTGCACATGATAAGGGTTTGTTCTTCCAATTGTTCCCACTCCACGTTCCGTTTTACTTTTTGCTTTCCACAGAGAGCGACAGAATTGATGGTGGCAGGCAGGTGGTGCTGATGTCTTTGTAGAGGATCCTGCACAAACTAGCGCGCACACACACAGGCACATGTCATGGATTCTGTTTTGGCTTTGCCATTCATCAGGCAAGTAGAAACGGAGCCAATTCGTACAGTTGTACATGAACCTTTGATGCACATCAACGTGGTATGCTGCAAGTGCATTGTTGTCCCTGCTTGCAGGAAGCCACACCAGAGTCTTTGCTGCAAATATGCCGGTTGTGTCCAGATATATACAGTACATTACATGACAGATCATGACAGAGCTTTGGCCAAAATAGCATCGATTCTCCTGAACTCAGTTGTGGAAGCAACTACTCCCTGCTGACTTGGGTGGGAGGGGTAGCGTGGGAAGCCAACGAGTTCGAGGCACATCATACCGCTTTGCATAGGGTTTTGACACTAAGAGTCCTTCCATTTGCCCTGCTTCCTTGACAATCGAAACGCCAGGCCCTGCAGTAGGGAGCGGCAAAGCCTTGGAGTCATCTCAGGACAGCCAAGTTTTTCTGTTGTAACTTGTGGATGGATCATGATCCAGGAAGGTGCTTTGCATGGCCCTGTCGCCAACAAGTCTGTTTTTCTTGGATTCCACATGTTCATTTTCTAGGCCAATGAAGCAAGCATGGTAGCGGACCAACGAAGTGTCCGTGACGTGATCGCAAGGGTTGCGGTAGCTCTTTTTGATAAAATAGTAATATCATTCAGCATGTCTGCATTGTAAACTATAGGTATGATGCCTTTCAAGGTACGGCTGGTGGTGCATCAACGCAGGTTGGTCATGCTGTGGAGCGCATGGACCAGGCCGGAGCCAAATGAATGGCGCCAGCTATCCTGCGTCCTAGGTAGTAGTGTTCTTGTAGCTACTAGCGACTCCCTAGCTACTACTAGCTACCGACCCAACTACTACCTCCCTCTTCTACCAGCCTACCCCCCCAAAAAAGCAATGTAAACATAATGTCCTTTCTTGAGATATGTCAACCTAGCGAAGGCTGTGAACAACAAGGTGGATGAGTGGGATTCACGCCTGGATTCCTTCATGTCCAACTGCAGCCTGATGTAAGGCTTGGCCGGAAGTCATTCCCTGCCAGAGAGGCGTAGTCTGGAGGATTCAGTGGCTTACCGCCGGTTTCCCACAGAGAAGCCTCCAGCTCATGTTTTCACGCTCTGAAACGACTTGGTTTGAGCTGAATGATCGGTGCTGCGACTCGGATTTGGACACTAACAGCTGTACAGAGTGTTTGAGACGGCAGCAGAAAAGAGGTCATGCTCAAAGCTACCATTTTTCCTTTGAGTCCACACCTGGCTTGGACGCAAGTCGCTCTTGATCCCAAAAGCATTTGATGCACATTGCGCAAGCTCAAGCTCATGACTCATAACTATGTCTTCCCTGGCATCCTAGCTTCAAATGAACACCTTGGTGGTGCATCCCAAGGGACATTTCAGATTGCCGCATGTCTCCAGATGTGCTCTGGCACTCCCACCCAGAGTGCCTGTACAAGCTGATGCACGGAGGATTCCAGTCGCTGGTCTTTGTGCAACTTTTCCACTGATAGCTGGTCGAGCAAGGACCAGACGATCTGCAACTGCTGAGTCAAGAAATCAAGCATTACAGTTTGAACTACTCAAGCATGGAATAACTTTTGAAGACTTGGACCGACCACCACATGATCCACTACTGTATCCAGCAGTGCGGTGTTGCAAGGCTTTTGTTTGCCCATCAAACAAGCATGCATTGGAAGTGGCTTGCCGACCTGGTCGTGCAGTTCAAGTTGCCAATGATGTTGCTCGTTTGGTTCGCGATGCACAAAAGGCTTCTGCGGCATGGACAGAGCGGAAAGAGGCTCAGAAAAACATCCAAGATACAGAAAGGATCACTTTCAAGCCTCTCACACCTCCTTTGATTCTGGTTCTGGATTGTATTCGCTCCACTCGGAATGTAGGTTCTCTACTTCGCAGTTGTGCTCTGGTGGGTGCCTCTGTGGTCTTTTGCGGGATTACTCCAGCACCACCAATGCCAGCTGTATTGAAATCGGCTGGAGAGGCTGCTGCTTTGGTCCCAAGCAGCTTCGCAGTTTCTGGGAAAGACGCTGTTCTTCGACTACAACGCGAGGGGTTTCAGGCCCATCCAAAGTGTCGGTTTTCTTTTCTTTGATCAGCAGTTGCATAATTGTATTAGAAGAATCTTTTTGCTGTATATACACATGTTTATGTATATAACTACTATATGCTTGTCAGACGTACATGTACATGAATCACATGCATTAGGGCGTGAGTCTCAGACATTTGGGTGTGGTCTGAGTCTCAGAATCGAGGTCTGGGCTTTGGAGACCACATCGCACGCAAAAGAATTGGAGACCACCGAGTTCCCGGACGGACCTCTCGCCCTGGTCCTTGGGCATGAAAGCTATGGCGTTTCGGCAAGTGCTCTAAAGGCCTGCGATGAGCATGTGTGCATTACCACGGTGGGCATCAAGAGACCTGGTGGCTATTGGTCGCTACAGGATTGTAAGAATATGTTAACTACACTGTCCAGTCAAGTAGAACCATGGGACCATTTTTATCCAAGTCCATCGCTATTCACGTCGCTTCGCGACGGTAACCGCCCGCACCGCATGGAAGGGGCCAATATTTCCACCGAACATAGCCCCGGAAGTGCCCCCCCCCTCCCCAACGTGGCCGAGCATAGATTCCATGTTTCGAGATAGGGATTTAACATGGCCCAACGTGTCAGGCAATATGAAAGCTATGTTTGGCCACGTTAGGGGGTGTTTTTTATTCCAATTTACGACGTTCAAGTCCCTATCTCGCAGACACTACCTTTAGATAGTGACTTCTAGGGCTATGTTAGGCAATATCTTCACTCTATTCCAGTCCCTTTTGAGCCTTCGTTGGGCCATGTTTACGACGTTCAAGTACCTATCTCGGGGAAGCATACTTGAGATAGTGACTTCTGGGGTTATGTTCGACCATATGGGAGCTATGCTCGTGAGATAATGTTACCGTTCCTGGACCTGATCTGCTTATCTCTGCTCCTGACCAGCCACGTACCCGGACTTGAACTATCTCGCAGACACGTCCGTTAGATAGTGGTTACGCAATATGGAAGCTATGTTGAGCCCCGTTAGGGGAACCTGTTCAGCCAAATGTCCAGATGATGCAGATGATGCAAAGCAGAAAATTGCACTTCTTGCATCACTAAAGGCTTCAAGATAGCAAAATTAGCACGAATTTATCTTCCAGCACTTTAAGCCGGCTCCAAAAACGTGAAAAAACACAGGATTCTAGAGCGAATTGGCCCCCCCCCCCTAGCTAAAGCTATTAATACTTGCGGTACTTGCGGTATAGCGCGTGCCTTATAAAAACGCCTCGGCACCTTCGGTGCGGGCGGATTAGGTTGGAGGCCATCGCTAGTATGGCATGGTGGAGGCCATCGCTATTCGGTTGGATACTAGCTTTGCATCCTCCTGTAACACTGCTTTGCCATGGGCTTAGGAACTCGCTCAATGTGGCTGTTGCGGGGAGCATTGCCCTCTTCGAGGTTGTGCCGTGAATGCATAGAGCCATTCAAAGACCTTCTTTTCGACTCTTGAAGGTTTATGGGGGCCCAGGTTGGAGCAGCTTCGACTTTTATGTTTGAACCTATCAGCGCAGGCGGAACAGAGATCGCAGTAGCTCAGTGGCCCAGTTTGAGGGCCACCAAGTCTGCTGTTGGAGATGAACCGAGAACTCCTTCGTGAACCTAGTGAACAGTTCTCGCCAGTTCTCACAGTGTGGTATCCACATTGGCTTGAGGGCGATGAGTGGATCAAGCTTCAGGATGAACTGCGTCTGCTGCAGGCTGCAGGATGAACTACCACTGAACTGCCTAAACCAGGCGGCACCCCTGCACCTGCAGGCATTGAAACATCACCTCGGGCGGAAAGAGAGACATGGCTTGTGCGACACCTTGACACTTTGGTGCTTTTGCGCTGTGGACGATGCTTTTGCCGATGATGCCCTCAAACGGCTAGCAGGACATGCAATTTGGACAATTTCGCAGCTTCTTTTGCTCAAAGCAGAAGCTGTGGAGTCATAAAACAAGAGAAAACTCAAATCAAAACTCAACAAGAGGCCAAGCTCTCACGACTCAAGGGCCGGTTCACGTCTCAGTATGTTCACACCCAAAATAGATCCTTACAATAGATGCTCCAGGCTCTTGTTTGGGTTCCAATTCCCTGCACGCTGCGGTGGGACCGCCATATGCACCGCTGTCGACGGCTGCAGCCGTGGAGCTTCGAGCCGCTGCGTCGACAGCTCCACGGTTTCTCTCGTGGACTTCATGGAGTCAATATACCACAGCACCGACTGACGGAGCTCCTGCTACTACTGACGTAGCATCTAGCATCTAGTAGCTGTTTGTTTTTGCATGCTTTCGATTGTGGTGCTTAAGCAGTTTAGCAATCCAACGCTTCTTTGAATTGTATCTTGTTTGCGGTTTTTGAAGTTCATGCGTGGACACTCTTGCTGTAATTTGCTTGCCTTTGTCCATTTCTTCCACCAGTGTTTTGCCTCTTTGCTTTGTTCATGTCCTTCTGTCTTTCTCTCCCTCGCTCCCTCCCTCCCTCCCTCCCTCCCTGACTTCGAGAATAGCAGCCTGATTGCCGCGCCAGGAGTTCCTTTGGTCTGACGTATGCTATCTTGCTGACCAGGGTGCCACACCTTTGTCTCTTTGCCAAGTCATTGCCGCAAGACCTGTGCAAGTGGCAGAGCTGGCGAATCGAGAGCTACCCATCCGTTTCGCCAAGCGAATACGGCAGATTGAGGACAGGCTTTCTCAACGTCTGCATCAGAGGGTTTTCTTTGATGCGAGATACTGTAGTTGATCAACATGTTGGTGGCAAAAACTGATTCAGCATGTTGAAGTTCAACAGTTGCCCTTTGTTTGTTAAAACCTACATGTGTCACGACTGCTAAACGCCATCCGGACGTTCGATTCCTGTCTCTTTCAGGACATTCCCGGCTGGCATGAGTCCCAGGACACCAACTGTAGACTGTGCAAATACAAAAACCCAAAGCACATCATATCCACACCGTGAGCATTTTAACATCACTTGCTCTTATGTATCATTGTTTTCAGAAAGTAAACGCCCTTCTCCAGTCTGACCATTCAGGACTTGGTGAAACTGAGATATCTCTACTTCCAATGCTTTAGTGATCTTCGCCTCATTGACTTGAAGGACTTGTGACTCCTGTCACTCCTCTGTGTTTTCCATTATATACTTGATTTGATCAACATTGAGATGAGGAGTTGAAGGAGTTGTGGGCATTCAGATCAGCACTATGTAGGATCTGCAGATTTCTTCACAGGACCATGACTTGCATGACCTCACCGTGGCCGTGACACGGACAAAACATCGCCTCAGTGGTGCAATCTCATTGTTGATGGAAGCGGTGCAGGAGCTTAAAGAGAAAGGCTGGAAGTGTCTAACATTTGTGACATTTTATGAATTCTTTTGTGGCACTATTGTGGTACTATGTCTTAGGTGATGTTGCTTCAACGCACATGATAGATCATCATGTTGGATGATGATGTGTGGTCTGTTGTGTTCTCACTGGAGCAACCACGGCAAGACATTCCCTACAGCATCAGGTCTCACTTTGCAGGAATCATTCTTGGAATCTTGGCATCATGCCATACCTTGCTCGAATTGATGACTGCCAGGTTCCAGTGGTGCTGCCATAGTGCAATGGTATGTAAGTATGAATGTTCAGTTCATGTAAATGTAGAGACTACAGCAAGGCTTTGTGCCTGCTGGTTCAAGCAGAAGACCGTGTGAGCAAGTTTTGAAGCTGCTAAGGAGCCTTGGCTAGACCGGTTTCTGCTCTCACGAATTGGCACAGAGATGCTCACATCTCACTATGTGGCAAGCATGGAGGCCTTGTTCTTGTTCCCTGTTGTGAACAATGACTTTGCCATACCCTGTAAAATGTTTCGTTTTGCAGGGGAGTAGCATTGTGGAGAAGGATTGTGATCCCACGGTCATTTGCCTCCGGGCGGCCGAGAAAGCTCGGTGGCTTTGTTGCTTGACTCCACGGAGCTCTGCACAGCCGTGGCACAGCCGTGCAGCTTTGCTGACCGGTGCGTGCGTGCTTGCCAAGGCATGGAGCACTACAAGCGCATCGGCAACACTGTGAAGATTAATGTCGAAACACTGCCAAGTGCTGGAAACCATGGGAATCGAAAGGGAAGACATTGTGGCTCGGCTGATTGAGTTTTTGGCCCAAGACTTCTCGCTTGGGCATTGATTTGTATGTTGCCTGAGGTTTCACATATGTTCCAAAATATCTCTACTACATGGTGCTGGAGCTCCTGAAGAACAGTGCACGGGCAACCATAGAGACTTCCTCGAGCCAAGCAGAGATCGAAGCCCGCCCGTCACTCACTTAGCATGTGGCGATAGCATGCAGGGCATCACGAGACTCCTTGGCCGTGAACACTGTGATTGCATGTGGTTCACCATGTGGTTCACCATGGCATTAAAATGTTGTCCTACTGAGGATTGTGGTCACTGTCAGCGCCAACAGTGGGCAGGTGGCTATCCGAATTCAAGACTCGGCAGGTGGCATTCCCTTCGAAGTTGCAGAGCGAGTGTGGTCCTACACCTATTCCACCGCAGACGCAGGGCTGCAACTTCCCTCGACTGCTTCAGCACATAGCTGTGAAGTGTCCGGCATCAAGGCAGTTCATGTTTGTGCAAGCTGCATTTGATGCAGCACGCACCGCAATTAACTAGGCGCACACAAGTCAGACGATTTGCATAGATACCCGACATGTTGCCTTTTTTGACTCACCTCACGTCACCACATCTCTCCGCAAGAAGCAATGCTTGTCAAAAAGCATTGCCTGAGGACACAAGATCGGATGTGTGGGAGCATCAGGGTACACCGCTAGCTGGCTCCTAGACTGCTTTGGATGTTGAGTGACTATTGGCCTCTACTCCATTGTCTAGCTGAGTTTGTAGTACCTTTCTGAAGCTTCCATCCGACAGGACTCAGACAGGTATTGCCAAAATTAGCCAGACCGAGGCTATGGCGTGGGCCTACCTTTGAGCCGGCTCTATGCACAGTACTTGGGCGGCTCGCTCCATTTGATGTCCATGCCTGGGGAAGGCACCACCGCCTTCCTGCATCTCAAGCGAACCTTGGCTGCCTTGGTGCGCTGGAAAGGTGCTGGAGATCTGCTTGAGATCACTTATTAATCTATGATATATCATTCTATATCAATCCGATCCGATAATCATTTGCCCAATATAGGAAGAAGAGAAAACAGCATCCTTGAAAAGCACTCTGAGAGGGAAGCTTTCTCTAAGCTGGTTCGCGATCGTTGTTTTGCTAAGGGGTATCCTTTCGCGACCCCGCAGGAAAAAATGTAAAAAAAGAACATTTTCGATGTTTACCGTTTTTACCGCGGATATGGTAGAAGAAAAAGGAGCGCCCCCCCCGGTAAAAACGGTAAAACAAATAACATTATCGATTTTTACCGTTTTTTTTCGCGGATATGGTAGAGAAAAAGGGGCGCCCCCCCGGTAAAAACGGAAAAACACATTTTCGATTGTTACCGTTTTTGCCGCGGATATGAACTTTAAACATGGAGCGCCCCCAGTAAAAAAACGATTAAACAAAAAACGATGTTTACCGTTTTTGCCACGGAGATGGTAGAAAAGAAAAGGACAAGTCCACCTACAAAAACGGAAAATAACACAACTTTGATTTTTAACGATATGGTAGAAGCAAAAAGAGCAAGCGACTCTTATTAAAAAAAGGTAAACAACAAAAGTAGCAATTTTCACTTTGGACCGTTTTTACCGCGACAATGCCTCGGGACCAGGTCGCAAGCTAGAAGACCTCTGTCAACAAAAAGGTTTAATGTTACAGCCCGGGTGTCTTCCTATAATCAGGTGGGGTTCACTCCTCCTATCATATAGGAGCGTATGCCCTTTTCGACAAGAGGAGTTTGGTGATTGATCAAAATTTCATGACTTTTAACTTTTGCAGGGCAGTGAAAGCCTACATCACTTGAATCGAAAACTTTCGATTTTTACCTACCGCGGATATGGCAGAAGAAACAGCGGTGACCCTCCGTTAAAAACTAAGAAACAACATAGACCCGTTTGCCCCCTCGATCAAAACGGTACAAAAAGAATCCAAATTGTTTTAGCGGATATGGTATTGAAAAAGGAAGCGCCCCCCGGTAAAAACGTTAAAAACGAATCGTTTTTTGCCGTTTTTACCGCAGATATGGTAGACGAAAAAGGGGTGCCCCCCGGGGAAAACGGTATTTTTTTTCGATTTTTACCGTTTTTACCGCGCAGATGCCTTGGATTAACCGCGTAACCCCGGCAACTACGCTAAACCAGCACAGAGCTTTCTGAAGAACGTGGATCCGCCCGTTTTCGGAACAGTGATGCACTTGCTGCTGACTTTAGGTTTGCAGCGAGATGCCCGTGAGCAGCTTCCTTTGTGGCATGGCGAGACCCAAAACAAATGTGCAGTAGATGGGATGACACTTGGAGCCTGGAGAGAGAGAGAGAGAGAGAGAGCGTGTGAGAGTGAGTTGCTTGAGACTGCGCAAGCACTTCAGGTGAGCCATCATAGGAAGCTTTGTCAGCTTCATTGACACGATTATATACATACAGTAATAGCTAATGCTAGCATCAGGATGTTCAACACGAAAGAACCAATCTATTAGACGGTGCTGATAACTTCAGAAACTCGTGTATACTTGCATTCATTTGCACCCTGTCACAGATGTTCCCAGAGTGCCACGAGCTTCTTGCTTTAATTAAACACGCTTTTTGAGGAACTTCGAGAACGAGTTCTGCAGCTCTTGTCAGTTTCGCGACAGCTGCTCTGAGCCAAAACAACCGAACCGGGCCCAAGAGAGCCAAATAGAAGCTGGGCAGACAGTACCATACCTGTCTCAAACTCCCGGCAGATCCCAGCAGCAACAGTAATGCTGTTTATGGGACAGACCCAAACAGAGCACATTGACATCAGCGTGCAAAAAGAGCGAGCTGGCAACCCTCTTGGAATGCTTCGGAATGCGATTCGAATGGACCCATCTCGAAGAACCCATTCTAACCACGGAATTTGTCAGTCTGAATGCTGCGCTCAGGTCTTCAGATGTCTCGATGTTCCACCTTGGAACCTTCAGAATTGCCTTGCTCTTGGAATGTCGTTGGATTGCAGGTATTCCACAAATATATATATGATTCTAGATTTCCTGTGATCGCATGCCTGGAACAGCCAAACAGTTGCCAGCCTCATGATGATGTGTCCTGGATGCACATGCCAGTTGCGCTTACAATGAAACACAACCCTGCTAGACACCCAGGGCATGATTTTTACCTTGTTGCTTTTAGGTGAGACGGCAAGTCAAAGGCCGTCAAGGCACTGTAGCATTGAGTTTTGACAACTCTTGGCAACGCAACTGGTTGCAAGGCTTTGATCAAGAGATCAGATCGAGACTTTGGCCCAAAGGATTTCGGATTGAGCAGTGAGCACTGCCCCGGAGCACCCCAACTCATGGCGCTCGTGCAGCTCTTGGGCATTTGGTCCTGTCTCCTTTGTGTGGCCGCTCAGTTTGGCAGTTTGAATGAGACTGTCATTGCAGAAGACTTCGCTGAAGAGGCAGGCTTTGCCTTACACAACATCAAAAATGACATTTGGTGGCTGATCTCCTTGGTTGCTTTACTCGTCGTGGTGTTGATTGGCATCTACTGGTTTAGAAGGATCAACAGGGACTTCAACAACAAAAAAAAGAACAGCTTGAAGACCAATCAAATCCGACAGAGCTGATTGACAAAGTGCTGAAGAACCACTCAAGTAGAGAAAATGCAGCCGGCCCTCGCTTGAGAGGCATTCAGAAAGCAACCAGAGGAGGAACACGTGGTGTCAGCATAGAATGGAAGAAGATTGAGTGCCTGACGAAGGAGAAGAGTGCAGTGCTGAACCTGGAGACGGGAAAAGATGAGAATGAACAACAAAGAAAGCAAAAGATCGAAGCTGGAAAGTTGACCGCTATCATGGGGCCATCGGGCTGTGGCAAAAGCATGCTCATGGAGGTCATCAGCGGAAAGCGCGTGACAGATGCAGAATGGACTGTTAAAGAGAATGTCAGCTTCATTGAGAGAGATCTACATGCCGAACAACAAAATGCAGATCATGAAAAGGAAATTAAGCGTGATGACTTCAAGCCTGATATGGGTTACGTTCCCCAGGATGATGTCGCATATGAGTTTCTCTCGGTCCGAGAGAACGTGTACTTCTCTGCAGCCAAGCGCATGCCAATCGGAAGCAACAAGCAAGACTTGGATGAGGTCACAAATGATGTGCTGGGATTGGTCGGGCTAGTTGAAAAGCAGAATGCCATAGTAGGCAATCGCATGCAAACAGGCTCAGGTCTCAGCGGCGGCCAGAAGAAACGGGTCAGTGTGGGAATTGAGCTCGCAGCCTGTCCCCGCGTCCTTTTCTTGGATGAACCAACCTCCAGCCTTGACTCCCCAAGTGCACTGGGACTTGTACAGAACCTCAAGAACCTTGCCACCTTGGGGGTGACGGTAGTCATGGTGATTCATCAACCACGTTATGACCTTTTTCAGCTTGTGGATGATGTGATCCTGCTCGCTTCAGGTGGTCGCATGGCCTATTGTGGTCCTACGACGACAGCAGTGGGCTACTTCAGTGCATTGGGCTACAGACTGCAGCATAATATGAACCCTGCAGATTGGATGATTGACATCCTTTGTGGGCAAAACCTCGCAGAGGTCATGCCTTCTGGCCGTGAACTTGCAGACATGAAGGACGTGCCGGATGAAATCGTGAAGGCGTGGAAGCGGAATCCACGTCCGCAACGAGCTCCCATAGCCATATCCTTGGAGCGAGCAGCGTCGGTTAGAAGTGAGACGCTTATGTACAAGCTTTACAAACATTGGCGGGCAGTCCTTGGAGGCCGACAGACAGCGGACCTGAATGATTTTACAAAGGTGCTCATAGATCTTGCCCCCGGAGAAAACGTCACCTTGGAAAATGCCAGACAAATCGCTCAGAACTTCGCCAGCCGGTCAGGAGAGATCACACGCAAGGACTTCATTAACCATGTGCTGGACATGGATGGTTCTGGAGTCATAGTTCTAGACCCAGACTTTGATCCAAGTGAATCTGAGCCATCTGAGCCTGAGAGGTCCTCTGATTCGTCAGATGCTTCCGCTGATTGTGACGGCTGGTGGTGGTGGCCGAAAAGAAAGCCGAGTAGAAACCGAGGCAGTTCGTCTTCTAGTTCTGGCACCTCAGTCACACGGTGGCGGCTGGCGATTCGACCACGAGCCCAGTACACAGATTGTCAAGACCGCCCCGGTTTTTGCAGGCACCTGATTTGTAGTCTCCAAGTGTCCCTGCTAGAGCTTGACCGTGGGTGGCTCACTGAGCTTAGCTTCTTGATGATCGTTGCCTTGGTTGGAGCCCTTCTCAGCTTTTTGACCGTCTATGTGTTCCATGATCCAACTTGGAGCCCAAATGCAATCCTGAACGTTCAAGTTGCCCAAGCATTCCTGATTTCCATCTACTCGCTGCGAGTCTTCAGCAATGGCAAGGAGATGTTTTGGCGAGAAGCCAGTCACGGCCTGAACCGGGCCGCATTCTTCCTCGGGCGACTGATGGTGCATGACTTGGGGTTGTGCTTGCAAACTGCGGTCTACGTGGTTGTGTGCTACCTGATCATGAGTCCCATGCCCCTCCTCTACTACATTTGGCCCTTCATCCTCGTGTCCTATGTCGCGTGTGGTTGGGGGGTTGCAGTGTCCTGCTGTTTGCCCCCAAGTATGGGTCCATTCACGTGCTCCATCCTCGCCTTTGTGACTGGAGGCATCTTAGGCATGCCTCCTCAAATGTCATGCTACCTTGATGGTGGCATTGGTGAGCTTCTCGTGAGCTGCCTGTCCTACAGCCGCTGGAGTGTGGAAATGACTTTCCAAGAGTGCCTTGCATTTGTCCCTCCAGACGAATCGGAGCTGGATGGCATGGACATGTTCCAGCTGCACACCTACCAGAACGCTTATGGGCAGGCACGGTTCATCCTGCCTGGGGATGAGCATCATTGGTGGAGCGGCGTGCTGTGGCTTTTGGCGCAGGGACTTGCTTTGCGCTGTTTCGCTTTCATGGGCTTGTGCTTGAAAGATCGCGCAAGGCAAGCATAGTCGTGATAGTGCAGGCTTTGGCCAAGTCGCATTTTCCCGCAATGGGTACGAGGAGCAGGCCGTCCAAAGGCCATGCGCCTGTCGTTGGCTTTTTGAATCCAACCTGTCTCGTTTTCTGCTGCAGTAGTTTTTCCACGTTGTACGTAAATCGCAGCCAATTCTTTGCACGGATCCTTCTTTTCTTCTTTTCCAAGACTCAATCGCGCAAAAGTCATGGCACCTTGTGATTGCAGCATTCTTTCCACCGCAAATCCTAAAGATGCCTTGCCGAAACTTTGTTGGATATTAATTACAAAGCATCATGTTTGATCTCGCTTGGCCCAGTTCTACCCCGGCCCGGCTCACAAGATCCGAAAGATTTCGGAGGTGGCGTCAAGGAGGCTGCCATGGTTTGATGCCTTTGCGAAGTCCGAAGCTAAACATAGTCAATATTTCAGTTTTTTGACTCAGACTTCAACAGAGTTGGAAGTCGCTTTTGCCACTATAGACTCCCATGTTTTGCAGGAACCTCCGTGTAATTATACTGGACTTGGCCAATCCTGGCTAAGCCAGAGAGAGCTTCACTGAATGCCGAGCGACGAGTCATTGGTAAAGTCCAAATCCGCGCCCAACAGCGGCACCATTTCACAAGGTACCAGGAACTTCGTTCGTGATAGTGATTTGTTCGTGCTGGAGTCGTGCAACATTGATTTATGAGGAGACACTGACAACAATCCATCCGTAGCTGCAATTCCACATCAACTGCCGAGGGAGCATCCAACCTTTTTCCTAGCACCCCAACAAGATGACGTCTTGCCAAGGAGGTGAAAAGGAACACAGACTGTCACAACTGACTCTTGCTAGTCCGGCATCTGACACAGACGCCTGGCTGTCCTCAATACAGTTTGTGCAGCGATTAGATGTAGATGTCCTCCCTCTGGCATGGTTCGAAACAGTCTGAACATCAGGGAGCCCCACTCATTTCGACACAGTGCCAGTTGGCCATGTCGAGCGTGAATTGCCCAGATCGGTTGATTGAACCGTTTGTCTGTGCCCGTTCCGCCTTTAAGGACGATTGCGCAATCCACTTGGCGCAATCATGACACGTGCTTGGCTGGTCTGAAAGGACTTGGGCCCCTGCCAATCCAGAGAATATTGCAGTCCTGATACTACTTTCCACCTTCAGCTTCAGAGGGTTTTGTGAGTCATTACCGATCTGCCTATCCACTTCCCCAAAAATGCGAGTCTGAATTGAGTGGAGAGCCAGTTGTTTAAGCATTGTTGGTTCAGGTGCTGCAAACAAGTAGTTGGTTGGATATGTAGAAAGGTAGCGACCTCCAAGTTGAGCAGAATTGCGACTGAAGAACATGGAACTTTCCAGGCTCTGACAATGCGACAAGGCCACGTCGCCCGCGTCGTGTTCGGGGTGGCACCAGATCTTCGTGGTGACAGTGACTCTCTTATCCATTGTTTGCACAAGCATCAAAGATGGCTGTGCAGGATGCAGTGGACATGCAGCCTGCTGTGGCCAAGATGCACAGTGAGCTGCAGCCCAATTTTCGACGGACACTTCTCAGGAATGAAACAGCATAATTATTTGGCCAAACACACTGTTTACTGTTTTGATTTCCAGGTTCCTGTTGCTTTTTTGCTTGGTGGTTGAGGTTGGAAGCCAAAATAACCAGTTCCCTCTCATGGATCTTCCATGGATCTCTAGTGTCGGTTGCTCAGGCAAAGGCATCTGACTCGGGAGACGCATGACCAAACGCAGGAGACGTACCCAGGCCAGGAAGGTGTTGAAGTCTGATTTGTGACTCAAAGAACTCGAAAAGCTCAGTGACTCAGGCAAGCCCAAGAAAAAGTCTCAGGTCATAGAGGCTGAGGGCAAGCAGGTGGGGAGCGAGAACACGTCTTGCGAAGGCAAAACAGAAATATATGATATGTACAGGCTTTGTATCTATATTCTCTGCTACTTGTAGCGTTTTGACGTGAGGTGCTGCTGACTTCGTTGTTTGGCCGTTGTTTCTGTTCTCAAGTGAAAGCACAGTCGGATCACGCTGGGCCATGGAAGCTCAGCTCGCCATTGCTGGCTTTGTTGGGCTAGTGGTGGGGTGGAACGCCCGCGGTTTCTTTCCTGAAAAGGAAGAGGCCCCAGCGTGTAGCTGCCTGTGCAACTGCCACCACAACGTGACTTCCTCTGAGGCGGCCAGTTGGTTTCAACCTGGATTGGTGGTTGCTTCGCTAGTTGTGCTCATTACCATTGCTGCAAATCTAGCCTTGGTTTTCCGAGTTTCCTGGGTTAGCAAGGGTGACGAAAGAGAGCTTGCTTTTGTTGTTAGCCACCAGAAAGGACAGGGTAAGAGCCGTGGTACCTTTGGATCTCCCAAAGGTCTACAAATTCAAGGATGATGGCTGCCCCTGTTCTTAGCCCGGGGGACGTGGCCTACCTCGATTACGGGGAAGCTCCACGATGTGTGCATACTAGGCTGGTCACTGGAGTGGTTGATCGTGGTACCCATGAGTTCACAATATTGACTCCTGATTTCGATGAGTACATAGAGGTTTTGCACCAGAGCAACCCGGATATAGTGGGCATCCATTTTGCTGGTCCTGGGGGTGGAAACCCGCCTGGCATACCCGCCAATGTCATCTACTCCTTTGCTCCGATGACAGCGGCTGAGCTAGCTTGGTGGCTGGGCAGAGGACGGATGAAGCCGCTGCAGAGAGAGCTCGCCGAGGACTTGCTCCGATCGCTGCGGTTGGTGTTGGGGGGGCAGGAGCTGGGGCACAACCGGTTCAGCAGATGGTGTGGGTGCTATGTACTATGCTAGATGGTCATCGGATTGGGGAGCAGGTGCAACCCCCTCCAAATATGCCTATGCTAGGTGAATATGGTTTGATGACGCTGGCTGACCCTTCTGGAGCTATGCAGACGGGCATGGTTAAGCGCATTGACATTCAGGACATTCCAAATTTTTGCGAGGGGCAGATTCAGCTGGCTAGAGCAGCTGAAGCGGCGGATGGTGACGATCGTTTGGCTGGTGAGGACATTAGGACAATGTCCATTCGTTATGCTGCGAATGGGGAGCGACAGAGGTCAGTAAAGGAGAGCGTAGCTGAGATGGTACAGGTTGAGATGGATGATTTTCCCTATGAACCACGGACTGCGCTCGAGTATCTTCGGGGGTACTCTCAGCACCTAGCCTGGGTCCAACAGTCTCGTATACCAGATGGCTCAAGAGCTATCTTTGAAGATGAAACACTGGCTAAGATCTTGGACATCGCTATATCCTACGACAGTCTGAACATCGCTAACCTTGCCTGTTTTGAACTGCTGTGTCGTCGCAGACAATTGATTGGTGAAGCACATCCGTACAACGCCTCAGCCCCATCCTACCAAGGGGCAGATCATTGGTTGGGAGACAAATACAAACATGGTGGGGCCATTGTCGTCCCATCGCTTTCTGAACATGTGTCGAAGAAGCTTCAAGCTGAGAGCGCAATCCTCAAAGAGCGCCGCAAGCTTGAAGAGGCGAAGGCGAAGGGAAAAGGGGCTCCAAAGGCTGGCAACAAAGGCCAGGCAGGAGCCCAGAGCCAGTGACCTCTAGGCTAGCTTCAGGTGGTGGCAGCCTACTCCTGGAGCCGTGGTTTTGTGCTGGCTGCAGTTTTTGGTCCTGGGGCTTTGCAGCTTTGGGGCTATGGGAAGTCGACAGAGGGATGTTTTCCCCTTGCCTACTTTGCATGGGCATCCTCTACAGAAGAGATTTCTGAATAGGGGCACTCAAAGACGAATTCATTCAAGGGCTGCCATTACTAGGCGAGCCAACTTGGCCATACAATCTCTGAATTCACTTTTCTACGGGAGGAATCGCCGATGGAGTAGTTCAGTCGTTGATGACATCTCTCTGCTCCCCTTGGTCCAGCAGGATTCTATCAAACACATCTTGAAGACGGTCAAGCAGCTTGGGCCACCTCCCATAGGTGCATGTAGTCAAGGGACCATGAATGCGCTCCAGACAGCCGGGTCTTCATACAGTGAACCTCGGTCGACATGAAGCTGGACTCTTTGTCTCTCCCTTCAGGGAAAGTTGCAGGTGTCAAGCTGTGTGACAATTTGACAGGAGAAGTGCGTGACATGGTGGAAAAATTTGAGGACCATCTTCTGCAGGACGCGTCACTCTGGACTGACCTGGAGAATGAAGCTGCTAAGATCAGGACTTACAATGACCCAATGTTGAGCTCCAAGGCGGGCTACATCAGCTTCCTCAAACAGCTGTACCAGAGTGGGGTGTTGTCGTTTACTAGTTCTTGCAGGGGGCGAGTTGGCGCATTTTGCGTCTCAAAGAAGCCCAAGGTGGTGGATGGCAAAACTGTCCAGCGCCAGCGTTTGGTTCTGGATTGCAGGGCTGTCAACTTACAGTTTCGAGATCCGCCGCGGACAGAGTTGGGATCACTTGCAAGTCTATCAGAAGTAACGATACCGGATGGGGAGTGCATGTATTTGGCAACTGCTGATATTTGCGATTGTTTCTATGCGTGTGAAGGACCCCCTGGTTTAGAGTGTTTCTTCTGCTTGTCGCATGATGTGTCCATAAATGACGTATGGGACATCACTCAAGGTTCCTTTGATTGCTCCGCACTGGTTTCCGGCAAATGCTCTCCTTGCATCAAGGTTCTTCCTATGGGTTTCAACTGGAGTTTCTATTTGGTGCAAGTTCTACATGAACAGGCTTGTCTTAGCGCTTTGGGGCTGGATAGGTCTACCGTCTTCTTGGATGGGCATCCCTCACCGATTCTTACCAGCCATGGTTGCTGCAGCATGCCATATTGTGACAATGTGCATGTGATCTCTCTCAATCCTGAACTTTGTCAACGTGGTAAAGATGATGTGGCTAGCAAACTGGAGTCTATGGGGTTCACTCTACACGAGCATACCAGTGCTGACACGCTGACTCAGACTCTGGGAGGGTTGGTTGATGGTAGTGTTGGAGAAGTCAGGGCTACCCCTAGTCGTATGTGGT